TTAATTAACCGACCCCTGAAGGCAAGTAGAGAATGACATCAAAATTCGCAAATTTTGAAACTAAATATCCTGGTCAATTTTGTCGTACTGGAGTCAAATTTCTTATAATTGTATTTCTTCATAACGAGTATAAACTTTTCCAAATATACGTACAGGAACCGTGAGACCGCATTAAAACTTAGATTTTGTTATTTGTCGAAAATTTATATATTTTTTAAATTAACATTTTCAAATCATGAATATTTTCGTCATCTAAAACATTTCTGTAACTGGAAGTATATGACTACGGCCAACGACTGCGAAAATAAAAGCCGATATGTACTTTTAAGCCGGGTAAGAAGGTGGGTACATATATATCTATATGCACGTTTGGTATTTGCCGATTGCAGTGAGAAAGGGAGGTGCACAACGAGTTGCTACAGCACTACCATATAAAATATTTCAGCGTTCTACGGGTAATTGTTTTTGAGTTATGCGAGATACATTCACACATAGATACGTACGTACGTGCACATACGTAGAGACGTCATGAAAATGTTCCTTTTGAATCCAGTTTAAAGCCATTTTACATTCCGTTTTGGAAAAAAGATCCCTTTATTCTGTCGGTAAGCGCATTGCACCAAAACGAAATCTATCCAGGGCTAAGCCATCTAGTAGCCCTTTCGCTCCAGAAGCGAACGAAGCTCCAAGGAACCACCGTTATTAATATATAGCGATCACACAGCCCGAGACAGAATTGACAGCACACATACAGTTCCTGTCCAGCCTGAGTCCTGTGAAGGCAGCAAATCTTCCCCATACTGTCCACTCCCAATATATGAACGTGACAAGTAACCAGCTTGAGGAGGTGTTGATACGTTTAGATATCACGAGAAAAAATTGTCCAAATGGATTCGGGAATGATCAAAATTTATATTTCTATTGAACGATGACACCCAAAATTCTTCTCGATTACAATAATTCCATTACTTTGTACAAGGAAGTAAAAGCTATGGAAACTTATCAAGCAGCCAGCTGTTCGTCTGGGTTTAAACTCGGATCTAACTACGAGGTATTTAGAGGCTTTAACCGCTCAGCTACTAAAAGGCCTTTACATGCACAGAACCATAAGCAATATTAATTAATTCAAACTGTCTGGGAGCACTTAGTATCGAGGTTAAGAAAGATGCAATGGTATAGAACAACTCCATGGTGTAGCAATTTTAATAGCTAACAGTGTAGTTAAAAAATCTAACGTGGGAATTAATATGATAAAAGTTTCACAAATAATCTGACTATGTATTATGATTGCACATATCAAACACATGGTTTTCAAGAAAAAAATTCTAAAGCCATGTTATGTCACATTAAAAGTGACAACCTATTTTTCTGTATGTTCCAATTAATTACCGTCACAAAACGGCGTTTATAAATACTGTTAAATAAAACGTCGTGGTTTGATACTTTTGTTTTTTATTAGATTCTTAAGATAAACTCGTTTTCTATGTGCTAACTTTATTAGAATCACAAACGTTTGCGACAATAACAATTCAACAGTTTTATCTAATATTTGAAAACCCTACGCTCAGGAATTTTGTCATAGCCTATTCAAGTTTTAAAACCGTATTGTTTAATTCTAAATGAACATATGTGTTCCATATGTAAATTTTACAGCTGTGTGTACCTTTAAGTGGTTCCGTTATTTGTTTTGAACATAAAAAGAGATATAAAGGTAGAAACGTATTGATTAATTACAAATATGTAAATAATAAAACATACATAAATAAAGAGCAAATATTTTGCGCATAAATTAATTTCTACTAAAACTTTTCTGCTAAAATTTAGAACATTTCTGTTATATTTTATTTCTGTACTAAAAGTCTCTTTTCATCGCAGCGAACTTTAAATGATTAATTTCTTTTCAAAGTCAGAACATTTCATGGATACAAACCCAACTCTGTCATAATGATTTTGAGCATTAAATAAGTTTTTGATACATGTCGCTAAAAGTATTATTCTCTAAAGTCATACAGCTGTGTCATACAGCATAAATTTTACAGCTGTGTGTACCTTTAAGTGGTTCCGTTACCTTTTTTGCACATAAAAAGAGATATATGAGGTAAAAAATATTGATTAATTACAAAATGTAAATAATAAAACATACATAAATAAAGAGCAAATATTTTGCGCATAATTAATTTCTGCTTAAACTTTTCTACTAAAATTTAGAACATTTCTGTTATATTTTATTTCTGTACTAAAAGTCTCTTTTCATCGCAGCGTAACTTTAAATGATTAACTTCTTTTCAAAGCCAGAACATTGCATGGATACAACATGGAAACCCAACTCTGTCATAATGATTTTGAGCATTAAATAAGTTTTTGATACATGTCGCTAAAAGTATTATTCTCTAAAGTCATACAGCTGTGTCATACAGCATAAATTTTACAGCTGTGTGTACCTTTAAGTCGTTCCGTTACCTGTTTTGCACATAAAAAGAGATATATGAGGTAAAAAATATTGATTAATTACAAAAAGTAAATAATAAAACATACATAAATAAAGCGCAAACATTTTATGCATAATTAATTTCTGCTAAAACTTTTCTGCTATAATTTAGAACATTTTCTCTGATTTTTTATTTCTGTACTAAAAGCCTCTTTTCATCGCAGCGTAACTTTAAATGATTAATTTCTTTTCAAAGCCAGAACATTTCATGGATACAAACCCAACTCTATCATAATGATTGTGAGCATTAAATAAGTTTTTGATACATGTCGCTAAAAGTTTTATTCTCTAAAGTATATTAGTTTCGTGAAATGAAAATGTCAAGTCATCGATTATTTAACCACGCATTTACAGACGCTTCAGGGGGGAATTAAAGTTTATTCAAATGAGAAATTTAATCTTTCATGCTGTGTTTGAAATCAAAAGGAAAGAATAGTTCTTGCTTCATGAATTTAAATATCTCATTTAGCAACTGAGAACAGAAGATTTCGCAACAAAACTCTCGTTTTTCGAGTAATAATGAAATCGCGATAAAAGAAAGAATTAAACTTTTGAAATAAATAAAATGCATCTAAGATATCGCGTTATTAAGGAGAAAATCGAAATTAATTTTATGTCCTTATTACTTTTCTCTGGAAGTGAATTTTACGGCCAGTTTTATGAGGCTGTTTATTGATTTGTTGAATTATTACTTAATAATAATTAAATGAAAACACAGTTAATAATCAAAGAAAATGCTTGTTACTGCGGCTTGTAGACGGTTGTTAAATGTAACTTAATATAAAGTGCTAGATGTATGGATATCAAATGTGTTGACTAAACAAAGTTCTGATACACAAGTCAACCTGATATGGCTATTTGAGCCTAAAGATGCAGTTATTCTACACCTAATTATTAAAAAAAAATTTTAATTTCCGAAATTGCAACTTGTTGCTTGAAAGCTTCTTCCATACCAGCTTGGCAACACTAAACATGGGAGAATTTTTTTTTCAATGGCGGGCACTAGCTATTATAAGGCATTGGCAAGAAGGCAAGTAACGGTGGTCACTTTATTATGGAAGCACATAATAGGTGGGCCACCTTTGCTTCCAATGAAGGGTAGACAATTTACATCCATTCATTCTCCGGGATTCAAACCCGGGGCCTTAGCTACGTCAGTCAGGATCACTAACCACTTTCTCGTCTGCGCAGAGTATATGGGAGAGTGATCACATCTATAATTCACTTAAGTACATTTTAAGCATTCAGTTATCAGCTACACTTAATACTATATTTTATGTCTATGCTAACCTCATATTTTCATTAATTAATTTGCATCATCTTTGGGTGGGAGACTTGTGCATATGAAATCATAGGAGACAGGGCTGAAAGGAATTTAAAAGCACGGGTTAGAAAAATTTAATAACCGTTATAAGTTCATTAATTTTGCTGCTACATAACGTTTGCACTGGTGAAATTTGTTAAATGAGAAGCAATTAATCTTATTTTAGTAAAATTTCCTTGACTGTTTTATAATATGTAACTTAACTGCTATTTAATATATTGCCGTTTTGCTTAACTACTTCATAATTCTTTATTAGTAGAATAACGAGGATATTTAAACATTAGACATTAATTTGAATAATTTATTCTGCATTCTTCAACCAATTCTTTTAAAATTTCTAAATTGTTATTTGCTTTATTTTGATACAAATTGCTCTAGATTTATCTTATGTCCAATAAAACAAGATACCTATTAGATTAGATAATCCTATTTTTTAGCTAACTTGATAATTTGCTGTCACAGCCTGTTAATTAATATGTTAGGTGTTAAATTTAAACAATTCAGTGCTATTCCTCTGAAATACCGGCTCAGTGTGCTGACCCACGAAGGCACGCTAGGAAAGCAGGAGAAATACCTTACAATGCAATGCAGAATTTCTACAGAAATGGCAATGATTGAGGTCATTTCTCATCACCTAGACTTTCCTGTTGTATTTATTACCTGTGAAACGTTTATGTGAAAATTTCGACAGGCTGAAAAATGCTGCTGTTTTATGCACTTGACATACCCTTGAAATTCTGGGTCGATCTAGCGCGGTATTTTAGAGCCATATAATAAAAAACATTTTAAAGATTTTGGAATATATTGAAATTTTTCCCTTCAATCCAAAACAATCATCTGGAAATGCACATTTACCTTACTAAAGCAAACTCGAGAGCAAAATTCAAAATGATATGTATATTTTAACAACCGCTTTTATAAACTTCCTAAAGGAACTGGTATTTTTGTATATATTTCCTATTTGAAGTATAATAAGTATGAATACTTTAAATGTGGCTCAGTTATATTGGTCGTAAGACGTATTAGTTGATTTTCATTGTTTTCTATGAAAATCAACTAATACGATATGAAATATATCAACTAATATGAAAATCAACTAATACGATATGAAATATATCAACTAATATGAAAATATACTAATACGAATATTGATAGTATTTCTACTGACAAGACATACTTTTATTTTAGTGACACGTTGGCGTTTGCTACTGAGCCTGTGCTGGGTACTTTGGCCAATGTGCTGGGATGTCTTGAAGAACGACTTCCGCAGAATCTTCCACCAGCAGTTAAAGAATACACGTTTTTGGACATCGAGATAAAATACGGACTTTTACAAGTAAGTATATATGTCATTATGATACGAGTCTTTAAAAATGATAAACATGTACGATGAATTTTCGAGAATCGTGTGGCAGTGAACTATGTTTGAGTCAATTACAGTACATTCTAGTCTCTTGATAATTAAGGAATTTTTAATAATAATATAAAAATCTAATAGAAGTTTGTAATTTAAAAATCAGTTTTGCCTAATGGCATGGTAAGAAAAAGGAATTTAGACATAATTTGGTCATACTGAATTTTTAGTGAATGAAATAGCCTTGATTTAATAGGAAAGTGATCCAAGCATAATTACTGAAGTAAAGTGACATTGTTTATAAATTCTATCAAAGCACCATTTGCTAATTAAAAGAATTCAGCGTGTTTTGATTTTTCTCATTACTGATATAGTTCATGAACCACAACGATCCCATGTCACATTTTACGTAAAGCAGGGAAGGTCAGAGATTAGTCTGTAAAAGGTAGTTTCAGGGTTATTACATTGTTCGCGTTTCCTGTTAGACTAACCTGTTTTCTCCAGAGTTCACTGGAATGCAAAATTAAATCCAGAAAAACTAAAAATGAACATTTTATCAATATGTAGATATATCTAAAATAAAACAGAGACAGGAGTCGTGTTTTCATTCGCTAAATACAAAGTAGTAAAAACAAAACACTTAAATTATGATTATATCTGAATTTACGAATTCCGAACCTTAACTCGAACGTACCGTAGTTTTAAAGAATTAGCATAAAGTTTGATTACCTCTATATCCTCTGGTGTCCTCTAATGGGTCTGCACTGTTTAAGAGACTGTGAAGAAAAACCAAAGTAGTTCACTTGTGTACCAAATTTTCTAAAACCGGCACTCTTGACACGTTCCAAAATGGGACATTTCTGGGAAGAAAGGGAGACCTGCGGTGATCATTCTGTGTTTGTATGGAATTTAGGTTTTGCTACCTGATACATGCTAAGTCTTTTGAGTATCGTAATTTTTAAGGTATTCATAGATCATTTCTCTCAAGCTCTCAAGACAATAAATATTATCCATAAAACTCAGTTATGAGCCGTTTGCTCTGAGAAGCCTTAAGTTGGCTAAATACTCTATTGTAGCAAAGCTTTCACCTTCTGAAAATCATTTTTTCATCCAGCATATGAAGAATTTTGCACATAATGTCACATTCGAAGTATTGAATATTTCATAACATTTTCTAGAATTCCATTTTTATCCTTTCTAGCGAATGTTCTGCTTTAGCTGCATAACAGAATACGCAAGGCTTGAGAGCAGCAACTACCAATTCAAACTACAAGTAATATATATAAATTGTGTTTGTGGCATATTTTCTGAATTCAGGCTTCCCAGGGAGAACGGAAACATTCTTAGTTGAAAGCAAAAAATTAACTGTAGCTCACAAGTATATATGGAGCATTGGATAAACACAAAATACAATTCTGGCCTAATTAGATGATCACGGTTAAGAAGGAGAAGAAGAATGTTTTATGGCTTCAGATATTTCAAAGCTGTATGCCAGCTTTGTATCACAATTTAGAGCAGAGCTAAAGCCATTTAGCAACAAAAGCACGTGCAACAAGGAAAGGAGGCACCACAATAAGGTCCTTAGATATTTAGGAAAAAGGGTACGAAAACGTTTCCCATTGCCAGTTTAACAATGGAATGAATGATGCAGCTAAACCGAAATCGAAAGAGGGAAGAAATGAAGAAAAACTGGTTTAAACATAGTGGGGGAACCGAAATCATTTAAGTCGTTAGGACCTCTAAATGTCTTAATCCGACTCAGGCTGGGAGAGTGATACATTTGAATTAACCTCTTTAACTACTAGAACTAAAGACTGTTCTTATGTCACTTTGGTCTCACTTCTCATTTTCGTCTGTATATTGCGGAGAACGATAAAACATCCTAAATGATAAACATCCTAAAGCTAAATTTACAAGTTTATATGCATCATTGATGGGTCACGGATAAACTGAACAAGCAAGGGAACGATGTGAATACTTTCAACAGAGAAAGAGTCGTACGGAAGACAACAAAAGCAACGATACTCTAATTTTAATATTTTTAATGCAATGACCTTGACCTTAAGCAAAGAACGTAGAAACGTAAAGCCTTCAAATTACATGCGGATTACACACTTCGGCTAAATACGTATCATCCTGCCTTAGATGATAACAATATATTAGTCAGTAAAATCTCTCTCATTTGAGCTCACTGAACACACATAACTGTTGGTTTAAATCGTGAAAGCGGCAGATAAAGTGTCTTTCGTGTATTCTGTATTCTTCTAACAAATAACTTAGCCTTTTTGGTTAAAATAATTCAATGTCTCAAGCAGAATTGATGGATAAGTTGGTGTAAATAAACAGTTTTTTATAAGGTATACTAATACCTTATCTTCGTGGATTGATATCTCCATTTAAGTAGCAATCTGAAGTTGATGCAACAGGCTTTCGTTAATGAGCACTACAACGTAACTTTAGTGTATAAACCTGCGCGGACGTCATTCTGCTGGGTATTCATATATGACCATTGCTGTCAAAGATGATGAACTGGTTTTTAATAAGTTTCAGTCAATATATAACATACACCAAAATTTTATATCGCTCTGCAAACATCTGTACTTAGAAAAGAGTTAACTTACTTAGTCTTTTAAAAGTGTGACAAATATGGTACTGTGATAACTTGCTCACACATTTGTAAAGTAAACATAGAACTTCTTAGAGTAAACAAAAGAATTAGATAGTTCCCAGGGAACTCTTTCCCGCGTCTGAGCTACATCTAATTTATAAAACGTGGATCTTGATTTAACTGCAATGATCTCGATCATTTATTCTTTATTTAATTTCTGCCTAAACAATTTCTTCTTAAAGTCCGCCTCCATAGTACGGTAGTCCCTGGTTCCAGGGTATTACGAGGAAATTTGTGTTTCATATCTAGTATCTCATACTTCTACTCCTATACTACATTCTATTCGTTGGTAGTATAAACTGATAATACGCATATAATTATTCAAATACATCTTTAAAGACTAAATGTGTTATTCTAAAAATACGGTTCCTGTATATATTATGTGCCAGCATACAAAATAGCACTTTTAGCATTATGAAATATTACCAGTGCATTTTATTATGTATAAATATTTTGTCATGTCTAAAGAAGAATTTATGTTAGGAAAATAATTTACTTAATCCTAAAAAGCTTTGAAAATTCCGTTTGATAAATGTGATGATAGCCTCTATTTTAAAATCTACTTTAATGTCTTTTTGCTTGTTGTTCTTTTCAGCTAACAGAAGCACTTTGTTTCCTGCATTACTCTTGTAAGCTGATCCACAGAAACCTTTGCCCACAGTCAGTCATCATCAATAAACGCGGGACATGGAAGCTGGCGGGACTTGAATTTGCGGAGAAATGCAACGAAACTGACATCATGGTAAGACTGTACTTATTTCTAAGAAACGGTAACCTTTAACCAGAAAAAATGAGGAACTTTTTCAGTGCTCAAATAATTTGAGTGGAATATGTTTTTTTATCGCGATAAATTTTTCTCGCTATCTTCCAGAAACTGGAATGTATTATTTTTCCCCCAGGAGTGACAGCTTATTTTGCATTACGTTGATTAAACTTTCTTCTAGCGCTTGACACCTTGGATCAAAATAAAATTACAAAAGGAAACATCTAATTTTTTATGCGCATATGTGCGTGCGTGTGTGTGTCTAAATAACAACAGCATAATTAGTTTTCATTCATTACATTATAAATCTAATTGTTTGGTTCCATTGTAAAATATTTTATCGTTTTATTCCCTCAGCTGAATATGACAAGCATTTCTCCCTTTTTATCTTCTTCTTGATTTTCTAATTTAGGTTCTTTTTATAACTCCTGATTAATGCAGTTATTATAATATCAGAGCAGTGAAATAATATAATACTATAAATCAGTAATAACAGTGCATACATTCATTACATTACTTCTGTAAGCCACATATAATTTATCAACAGGCGCTGTGCGAATACATAGATTTCAGGGGTTGTGTTTGTGCTTATTTAGTCAATTATGGCAAAGAACACGAGGAATAGCTGCCTAAAAATGGACGCTTTCACTGGGTTAGTTTCATAGAGAGTATTGGACTAAATATGATTCAGTGACTTAGTCATAAAACTCTAGAAAGTGCTTAGGTAGAACTCCGTGTATTATGCTAAAGCAGAGATAAGTTAAATTACTGTGCTGTCTTAAGTTTAAGACAATGAATACCTGATAATATGAATATCTGACAATAAAGCTGAAGTGACAGCTTTCCTGCTACTTCATATATTTTTTATCTGTCTATTATTTATATATGTTGGTAAAAAATAGTAAAATATTAGTAAAATAAATTTTGATAAATGAAGCCCAAAATGCATTTCTTCCCTGCAACCCTAATTCCGTTAGCTGTAACCGTAATTCTACTCTTTTGCTTTCCAGAAATCTCGAGAAACAAAGAAATTACTAGAACTTTCTCGCGACCTATTGAAAGCGTTAAAAATCCGGAGAGAAACATCTCAGCTCCCGTTGTTTATTTAGCTGTTGTTGTTGATTATTTTGAATTCGCGGTGAGACCGGATTAGCTTTCTCTTTGAATTGCATTGTATTCTGACGTTTTTAGTAGTTTAGAGAATGATTCTATTGCGTGATACTGTGTACTTCAACGAATATCTCTGAGGAAACATCCAGCGTTCTGTTATATTTCTTTTGCTAAGAATAAATTTTATTAACCTTTTAACTTTTGATCGGACTTGTGCATTCAATCGATTACGAACTCGTATGCACGCAAAATTATATTTGCGTTCTTGCATCGATAAACAAGTCCTGAAACGTTGTAGAGTCATTAGGTTATTTTGAAGCAGAAGACATGACAAATGTGCTATGCCTTCGCTGAGACTTGAACCTGAACCTCTCGATACACGACGAGAATGTTTCCAATTGCACCACGAAGACATACGGAAAGGGGATAGAAAATTCCTTGGGCGTGGGCTGTTATGACCATACGAACAACTTGTGTGGTTAGGTGGGTTGGTTGCTCCCACTTATATGCTCCGCTTTTTAAAGGGTACCTTATATACTCCGCCTTTTAAAGAGCGACTGAGCATTAGGGAACCCAATCGCCAAACCTGGTGGTGACGAATTATCATCCACCACCTTTTAGTTCTGGCACCACTATAGCGTATTAGGTTATTTTTTTGCGAAAGACACGAAAAATGAGCAATACCTTCGTCTGGACTCGAACCTGGGCCTTGTGAATAGGTGCCAAGTGTTCTACCGTTAGACCACGGGATGCTTGAAGGAGAAAGAAAATACCTTACAGCATATTTAAATCAATCTTCAATAACCAAGTCCTATAGCGTAATTAAATCAATCATCAATAAGTCCTATAGCGTAATTAAGTCTGCCATCCGTAAGTCTTATAGCGTGATCAAATCAATCGTCAGTAAGTCCTCTAACATAATTAAACAAAGCAGTATACCTGGAGGACGAAACAAATCAGGTATGTGCAAAACTTAGATTAGAGCGCATGTGGGAGAAAAGTAAAATATCAGCAAATACAAAAATAAACAACTGTTGGCAATGATTAGAAAGCTGTGTTGTCTTCAGGTAAAAATACATTATTCTCAATGAATGAACAGTGTTTTTCTTAAGTTATCTTACGCAGAAACATTTTAAATGTAAATAATTTCATAATAGATAAAAATCTGATTTATCTGAAGCAATGTAAAACAAAATCTAAATTGTACGAAATAAACTATTAATCTCCAGTTCAATGCAAGAAACACCATACAAACAAAACTCTGACTATGTGCAATTACTATTCAAAGCAACAAAAATAAAATTCCACAATATGTAGCTTATTATAGTATTCGAAAAATTATTTGGCGAAAGACTGTTTGAAAATGTTTTCGAAAACGAAATTAAGACAATCATAACCGTTCAGCATACAAACGTATAAGTTATTTTCTCCCTCCTTCCAGCATAACATCGTGGTGTAACGGCAGCATATTCGGCGCATATTTGAGAGGTTCAGATTCGAGTACAAACCGCACCAGCGTACCGAGCCTTCTGGGAATTGCGTCCGTACTCCAGAGACCATCCAGGGGGGCGCAAGCCCCACTGGCCCCACTTGAGCTTCCACGAAGCATGAGGCCAAAGAACACTATGACGAGTTTAAAACGAAGACTCTTTGCCCCGGTCACCACGCCGGGAGCATCGAATATTCAGAAGGGTGGTCCATACCAGTACAAGTCCCCCACGAGGGACTGAATGTGACCAAACCTCCTAACGATGTAACAACATCATACGATGTAACAACCCCACAACCTATCTATCATACGATGTAACAACCCCACAACCAAGGGGCAGACACGACAGTGCCAGTACGGTCCCTGCCAAGCCTGAACCCTCCTGAGAATAAACTCGGGTTCTAGTCCTGTGAAGAGTGATTATGTATCCCCGTGGTTGAGACTGCCTAAGTACAGATCCTAGCCAGTACTTCTCAGGAATTCTTCTGAGTCAATCTCCGGGGGGACCCGGCCAGGGTATTGCCCACTTTTTGGCTATCCAGATTCAAAAGATCCTAAGAACTCTATAGTGACGCCAGACTAAAAGATGGTTAATAATAATTCGTCACCACCAGGATTTGTCTCTTCGGTCCCGTAATCCCCAGTCTCCCTTTAAAAAGGGGAAGTATATTTTATTCCTTCTTCCAGCACGCCTTCGCAGTGTAACTGTAGCATACTCGGCGCGTATTCGAGAGGTCTAAATTCAAATCCCGGCGAGGGCATTGCACATTTTTCACGTATACTACTTCAATTCGACTGCACACCGGATGCTCTAGGCGCTGGATCTCGGAGTCTTGTGCGAGGCTCTCGTGTGGCCACACCAACTGGCCAACTCTAGATAAGGGTGGACGTGGTGCTGTACTGATTAACCGAATGGCAAAGGAACAGTGCTCACGTCCTCCGTCGCTTATAGCTTATACTGCTTCAAAAAAATCTAATTGACACTACAATTTATTGTTTAGGTATTTTACAAGGCTGTGAAAATACCAAGTTGTTATTTTTATGGATACTGGCTGTTCTGAATTTAGCGTGAGTTTTTAAAATTGCAATATACTACTCGTTACCTATCCTTTAGTAGTACATTTAAGGAATGGAGCTAGAAATTTATCAATTTTTGCGTGCTATGCTATTTCATCCTAAATTATTCATTTTATGCAAAACTTGGAGTATACCTAAAGGTAACTGACACGACATGTATGCAATACATTGCAACATGTCATTTCACACAATGGCACTTAAATTTACCTAAGAGATCATATAAGCTTTCTACTGCATGTGTAGCTTATAAATTGAAAATGCGGGGAATAGAACGAAATTCATTGAAAAGTTTCATTTTCCAAAACTTTTCTAGGCCTAAGGTCTACAATAATAATTCCGATGTCGGAGAAAATTTCGATGTCGAGAAATTAAGATAATACTTTCAAAACTATCTAATGTACAAAAGAGTAATGCAATTAACTAGCGTGTGATTATAATATATTTCTAAAATTCATACTTATCGTTAGAAGTTAGTCAAATGGTACCAATGATATTCGTGTCACTCCATAGAATCAAGATTTCCATTTCAGAAGTACAGCATTTTGACAAAGCATGTGAAACGTATAATATAGAAATTCTGTTTTCAAGCAGCGTCTGCTTCCTTTAGTACGTTTTTTAATTCAGAAAACGATTGTTAGTTGTCGGCATTGTTTCGAGAGTAGTGGTACTTAAAGAAAACTTTATTTTCCTTGGGGCTCTTTGTTTCTTTAATTGAATATATCAAGAAACACCAGAGATATCTTTTTAAGAGAAGAGTTACCCTTGTTGAGACCTTTCTAACGAAACCTATTTTGTATTTACATGTAGAATTCGAAGCGTTTTTGCATTCAAAAAGATCAAAGGAACTTTACTTAACATGAAAATCTTTTAAACTCCTTTCATATAAATGAAATTGATCTGTACATTTGTATCCATTTGTTAATAGCTCAGCGGCTGAGCGGTAAATTCGTTAAACACTGATAGTTTGATTTAGGCTCGACTCCAGGAGAATGAGCTTGTTGTATCGATGCTTTCATGGCTTTCTCCATATGTAATATGGAGCGACGGCAATTGCGGATTTCTTCAATTTTCTGGTTTCGAAAATTTCTAAAAAAGGTCTCTACAAATGACGCTCGATCTAAAATGCGGTAGACAATAATTCGTGGTCTCCAGGATTTGGCGATTTGTCCCCTAATCCCCAGTTTCGCTTTAAAATACGTAATACATACGCATTTTCTCTCTTCTTTTCACATGTCTTTCTCATGTAAATGGATGCACGTTTGACGCGTATTCGAAAGGTCCGGATATCGAATCCCTGTGAAGG